TTAGAAAATAAATTCCAGATGGATCACAAATTTAATTGTTTAAAAAAACAATAAAAGTATAAGAAAAAGATACGATGAATATTTATACAATCTTGGAATTAGAATCATAAAGATCTTCATAAGCATGATAGCAAAGGTAAACAAAAGATAGATTTGACTAAAAATTGTTTTTCATTGTCTGATCATTTCTAAAACACCATACATACAACTTTTTTTTTTGGTTGTTTTTTTTTGTTACAGTACTTATGGGACAAAAAACTCTCAGAAATCAGTGAGACAGTCAAACACTTTACGAGAAAACTGGTCAGAGGAGATGAATAGGTCAACTACAAAAGAATATCATCTAATAAATATTTTTGCTAGTGAAGATCTCATTTTAATAATTTAAAAAATTCACAGCGGTTCGATGCCCAGCCCGAGTTGAGTTGCCGCTGAGCTGCCAATAGGCAGCAGGATGGCTCAGCTAAAAAAATTTAAAAAAAAATCCATATGAAATCTAGCCCCCAGCCTCACAGTAACACCAGTGTTAAAGAGAGAGCAGGACATTCTCACACATTGCTAGTGGGAGTATAATTTGGTATCATCTTTTGGAAGGCAATTTGAGGCAATATATAATAAAGTCATAAAAATGTGCACACCTTTTTATCGTTAGTCAGGATAGGGTATGTTATGCTGCAGGAATAAATTAACCCTGAAATCCCAGTGGTGTCACACTTAAGGTTATTCTTTAGTCACACCACATGTCTGTGCAGGTGGGCCGGTGGGGGTGCTGGGAAGGGGAGCTGCTCCATAGAGTCATTCAGGGACCCAGAATGACAGAGGCTCCGTGTCTGCAATGTCGCCATTTGCTGAGGCCAGGGAACAGAGACTGGACAACTGTACACGGGCATCTCAGAGTCTTGGTCTGCACATTTCATTGGCCACAGTGAGTCCCAGGATCCTGAATGACTCTAAGGGAAATTGGAGTCTCCTATGTGCCTCCCACACTTTGGAGGCAGCAAGTCCAACTTCAGAAAATTATGCTAAGTAAATATTCTGAAAAGTTCACAAAGATGTTAGAAGAAAGGATTTCATCATATCCTTGACTGCAACAGTAAAATACTGGAAACAACCTAAGTATCCAAGGTACAACCTGCATAGGTGTTAAAAATGATGCAATTATATATTTACGATATAGAAATATATTCACAATATAGTGCTAAAAAGAAAAAGTAAGCTATAAAACAGCACATATGATTGTATTTCATGAAAAAATAATAAAACAAATACAGAAGCATAGAAAAAAACCTAAAAAGATATATACCAAAATGTTAACAGTGGTTATAATCAGATGGTGTAATAACAGGTGATTTTTTTCCTTTTCACTCATCTGTAGTTTCTTTTTTTTAAAAAAGTATCTATTGTTTACATACCAAAAAGGCATTAAAAAAAGGGGGAAAAAAACCCCTTGGGAAAGTCCACTTGTCCACCTCATATTAATCATGAAACTCTTATATTTATTTGATGGAAGAAATGACTAATTGCCTGTCACATCATAAGATATTGCTACAACAATTTATCAAAGTCAGGACTTTATATTAAAAGTGGTATGGGAGGGTAAAAACAGTAATACATTCCCCACAGCTGCGTATCATCAGACCTGTCAATCATCTGCCAAAATGTCCCACAGTCTGGGTTCCACCGTGGTTTCTCTGGGCTCCTGCCAGGTGCACCAGGGGTCTGTGTGGCCTGGGGGACCACTCTTCACAAGGCTCTGCATCGTCAAAGAGAGTAGGGCACTGTACAACTCCACTTGGAAACAAAGACCCACAACCTCTTCTCATAAAAGGATTCCATGTAACATCACCGCCAGGGTTATGAAAGACTCCTCCTAGGTATCCATATTTTTAATGGAAAATATTGTTTCTTCTTGCTGCCCTTGCTGCTTCCCCCGCCCCCCCCCCACACATATGCAGACGCACATGCGCGCACACAGAGTCCTAAATTCATTAGACCATTTCATCCAGGTGCCAAATTCTTGCCAAAGTCACCTTCTTGCCTGGCTGGTGTTTAAAGAGGAACTGGAAAACCCATATTCTTGAGACACATTATGTGAAAGGACACATAAATAAACACACATTTCTATACAGGATTCCCTCTCCACGCTCTCACCCTCGCCACCCCCAGAATATATCATATTTCCTTGGGGGAAACCATGTACTCAGAAATTAGGATCCTTTTAAACCATGCATATCATTTAAAAATATATATTAACATCAATTTGCAAGCTTCTAGTTTAAACTGTCAGTGCTTCAAAATCCAGCGACGTTTCAAGTAAATAAAAGAACGCTAACTTTTAGAAGAACGGATGGCACAAACAACCTGCTTTCAGTGACTAGCCAAGAGTGGTGGCTGGCTCCCTCTTAAAATAAAGTATAGCCTCTTTTGAGGGTCTATGCTAAATCACATCACAGCTGCCTTCTCTCTGAGACTGCACTGGGCCACACGTGAGGTCCCACAGAGAGGTCCCTGGCACGCCCTGTGGTTGGCTATAGAGAAGAGCAGACCCTTCTATAGAAAAGGACTCGCTTTGAAATGGGCTTCTCACAGTGCTTCCAGGCAGCACGTGAACTGTATATTCCATTCCACCCGTTACTTGATACTCCATGTCAAATGCAGTGCATACCAGTCATGCATCCTGGTGGCTGTGCTTGTGGGCTGCCTGAGCCTAGAGAAGTCCATGAGGAGGCTGCAGGTGGACAGTCCTCCTGGGGTTGGGCGGGTCCCCTTCTCCCTGCTCTAACCACTGAGCCGGCCTGCTCCCTGCAGAGCTGGCTCCTGTCTGGGAAGCGGGGGGGGCGGTAGACTGGCAACCCCCAGCCAGGACTCTGTTTACTGCTCTGTGGTCTCAGGGCTTCCCGCGTGTCTTGGACACACCGCAGTCTCCACTAAAACCATCAACAAAGAACTCAGATGTGGCCTCTCACAGCACAGACATCATTTTAACCAACTCTCTCAGAAAGATCTCTGCAAAACCAGAATCCTTTGAAAATGGAAGTTACTGTTTGGAATGCATGTGAATGTCATTCTCATTCACTCATTTGTAAATTGTCAGTTGCTGTGGACACATGTTAAAATAGTGTCACTGTGGGGTGGTCTTGTCAGAATATGAGAGAATTTTCTTTTTCTCGGCACCCCCGGGTGACCAAAGAGAGGACAGTGGCAGGGCTCATAGAAGGACACTGGACCGAGGTCCAGGAGACCTGGATGTGGAGCCCACGCTGCTGCTCACCACCTGGTGACACTGGGCATGTCACCTTCTGTCTCTGCTTCCTGTCTACAAAATAGGGGTCACGATCTCTGCTCAGTCCTCTCGCCCACTTGAGGTCTCAAGTGACCGCAAGCAGGCGGCTGTGGAACTGATGGACCATGTAAGATCCAGATCTCGAGTGGACGCTGCTTCTCCTTCCCTTCAAGGCCTGACCACACTGTCCTGATCTGTCCCTCAGGTGGTTTTACGCTCCCTGGATACTAGAAAGGGTTCATCGCCGCTCGCCACTCTCAAAGACCCCTGTCAGGTCTTTACTGCATCAAACATGGCTTTTAAGGGTCATTATGGATAAAGGGATTCAAGTTTTACTTTGACTCTTTTAGGGCCCAGGTTTCATGGATGCAGAAAGAACACTAATCCACATTCAGGCAGCCAGTCTTGGAGGTATCAAAATCAGGAGACATCGATTGGAAACGAAAACGCAGTCCTGGCCTTAAATCTTCCAGCAGCACAACGTGGCTGGACGTTCATTAGTTGGTTTACGTCCTGCCTGCACCTGGCTTAAGATAATGACAACTAATGGACATCAGTGCTGAGAGTGGAGCTGGAGGTCCTGATAAATGAGGACATGTCACAGTGGCTCAAGTGAAAACCGGGAGGAATTCAGTGGGTCATTTTCATTATATCGAATCCACCCTCACTGCGCCAGGGGCTGTCAGCCAGGGCCAGTCTCTGTCCTGACTGCCCAGGTTGTCCCCGGAAAAGAAAGTAAATGAATAAACACCAAGCTCTTTACAGAAAAGCAGGGGAACAGCAAGTACAGTGCTCTGTGAAGTCACGTTTGCAGTTTACCATCCCCTTCCAAGCAGCCCCTGTTGCTCGTAGCTCCTGGGCTGCGCACAACACGGGATCTAAGACACACACCGACTCTTCAAGGATCGGTGAGCAGGGACCCTGGGGACGCACAGGGATGCTGCAGCTGTTGTAGTAACAGCTGTGCCACATCCAAGCTTCCTGCAGTCACTGCTATGGAGCACAAGTGGCTTTAGCAACTCTCTTCCTATGACTGTCACCTAAGCATGCCACTCCCGTCAGTCCAGATGGCTCCTTCTAGGTTAACAAGCCACCTGATAGACAGAGGTGGTGGGCATCAGGAGACCCAACGTCAGGCTCTGGACTCCAGTGTCCCCGGCTCCTGGGAAACCACGTGCCCAGTCTGCTGACAGGGGGACTGACCTGGCCTGAGAAGAACTCCCTTAATTGCACCGCTGGCCACAGGCCTGGTGCAGGGCCAGCCCAGCTCCCTGGTCTCCTGGCACAGCCAGTAAGGAGCTACTCCCAGTGCGATCACCTGAGAGCTGCCTGGAGCTCCCGGGAAGGGGCAGGGCCAGCATGCCTTCTCTCACATCTGCAGGAGGGCTGACCACACTCTGCATGTCCTGTGTGCCCTGTACTCAGCCAAAGCCACCCCCTCATCTGCAGGGTCTCCCCTAAACTGCTCCAGATCCCAGCTTTCCCTCCTTCCCCCCACTCAAATAAGACCGCCTGGCTCAGAGGGTCTCAGCTAGGTGAAGGAGAGCAGCAGGACTTCCGAACTCGCCTTGGGGCACAGCTCACATCCGTGTACCCACCCACCCTGTTTTATCATTTATCTAAATTCATCAGGGAGAAATTCTAACCATGTGAGAAAATCTTTCTGGAGGGGCAAGTTCTCTTAGTGGTTCTCAAAGCAGATAAGGGGACACCAAGGCCTCCCCTTCCTGAAGGCGTTTAGAAACGCCTTCGGCCAGGGATTCAAACCACCTTGCCAGGCACAGGGCAGTCCCTCCCAAGGCAGGATGCCAGCGGCACCCAGTGCCCACAGAGAAGCTCTGTAAGGGAAGAGCGGTTGTGGCTCCAGTCGCTCCTTAGCAGAAGCTGAGAGAGGCGGTGGTAGACCTGGGCGAACTCTGTCACTAAGGCCAAGGCCCTGCCACTTGAGCTGACACTCTCTGGCTGGTGTCCAAACCCAACATCGGATCCCACTCTAGATCCCAGCTCTGGGCAGCCCCTACACCAGGGACAACCAGTGGTCCTGGAATCCCTAGGCCTGGGGAAGAAGGGTGGTCCCAGTGTCAGAGACCGCCAGGGGCAGAGCACCATGAATGGGCTCCTGGGGGGCCTCAGACCAGCTCCTGCTGCTTTCACTGCCACCCTCCCTGCCTCAGGGCCACCCGAGCCAATCCATGGGCTTGACCACCAAGGGCATTCATGTCTGATAATGACCCAGGGCGCCAAGATGCCAGACTGCTCAACAGGGACTCTGCTGGGGTTGGATTAAAACACTAAATTCTGTTTACATGTTTAATTGAACAAATATTTATTAAGCACCTACTTTGTGCCAGGCACTGTGCTAGGTACCCCCACTGCATGCTGTTCCCACAGCACAGCAACCTGCTCAGAAATTAAAACCAATGAAAGGAGCACTGTCGCAACCCTACAAACTGGGGGGTTGGGGATGGGGGGGCAGAGTGGCCGGTGCCAGAAAATGCACCCACCAGCAGCTTGCCTTCTTTCTCGGGACAAGTCTCTACTGAGTGGCTGCTCTAAAGCATCCTGATACTCTGAGAGGGTGGCTGCTATCTCTACACCCACGCACGGGTGCCTGGTGGGCATTCAAATACTCTTGAGTGCTATTCAAAAACAGGAGGTGTGAAGGACCTGCATATATGAATTCGAAAACTTACTTCAGTTTATATGGCTGCGACAGCCCTTAAGAAAGATATAAACATCCCTGCCCTGACTGCGTAAACGGTAAACGTTACACCTCGTCCTGGATTCCTGAGTCAGAACCTTCCCGATGTCCACAACCTCCAGAGGCCCGAGAAGCGAGAGGAAGTTTCTCCTGTGAACGCGCCCACGGCGCCTGCCTTGACAAGCCACGCCCACAGGAGAACGCCTAGTCCTATCGGTCGCGCGCACACACCTGGGGCTCACGCGCCGAGCCTGCGCCTCCCCCTAGTTGTCCGTGCCCAGCTTGGAGAGGCCGCGGCGGAAGTCGTGCAAGTCGTCGATCTTCCCGTCCAGCACCTCCAAGAAGCTCTTCAGTTCCACCTTCAGGTGGCGCTGTCGGTATTTGCTCTCCTCAATGTCTGACCTCAGAGAAAGTACTTTGTCTTCCAGGTTTTGATTGTCTCTCTCTGCCGCCTGCAGCAAAACAAAAGGGAGAATAGTGATGGGAGCCGTCCTGAGACCTGCTACAGCCAAACTGTCTGTTCTCCCGTGGGGGCTGCATCCCCAGAAGTGTTAGTCCCCCAGCACACAAGCCTGCGACCACTGATGGCAGCACAGAAGGCAAGGGGTATTTCGGAGTGCCCTCCTTTCCTGCCTGTTTCCTGGCAGAGGTGCCAACAGGCAGAGTGTACGACCAATAGCTGGCCTGAAAAAAGACATCCCCACAGAATGCAGAACCTGGAGTCCTGCCTGGGGAGATTGATGCTAACTGACCCTTTCATAAGTGCCCAGCCCAGAAAGTCTGAAATCCCAGCTCAAGGCATTTTATCCCCATTTCCAGAAGCTCAGTTCCATTCTGAGAGAGAAACAGGACAAACAGGACAGTGACTTGTTTCCCCTGGTTCCACTGCAAGGGCGAGGCCTCCTGGGCCCCAGGCCAGCCTGTGACCCTCACTGCAGGAGGACTGGCTGTGCCAAACAGGGACAGCCGGTCTGCGCACCATCCGTCCATGGTGTTGCCATGGAGACGTTCAAGCTCCCAAAGGCAGGTGGGCTGGGAGTCCTTAAATAAGGCTTAAGCCTTACACTCTTCCTATCAAATACAAGGCTCCTTCTTGTGGGTACAAAACAAGACTTTTTGGAACATGCGTACAGGAACCAGTGACTAGTAGTACTAGGGTTTTGCACTTGAATAAAGGGCTCCTGAAGTGAGGAGACCTCGGAGGTGAAGGAGGTTAAAACCATCCTTTTGGGAATCAGAAATCTGAGGCCAGCGAGGGGGCCTGCCCAAGGTCAGGTGCAAGGTCACTGGCTGGAGCGTGGCAAGGTGGACTAGCATCCAGGGCTTCTGCTCTCAGCCCCCGCTCCCCACTGCCTCTGTGGGTAGAAAACAGTCATGCACTGTGGTTATGTTGCACAAGACACCTTCACGGGAATAGAAAATGAAGAGACATGCTGCTGAGCATGCGGGCACTGCTGGTTTTAGAAAACCGCTCTTCCTTACCACACAGGGTATAAAAGGAGAGGCCTCGGGGAGATGAGTAACATGAACGCCCTCCCGTCTGAGCAAGCCGGAAGTACCCCAGTCCTTACCTCTAACTTCTCAGAGACATATTCACACTCTGACATGAGCTGAGGTATGATTTCACTTTGTTTTCGGAGATCTTTCAACTCCTACGGGACACAGAAATTTGGAAAAGAATGTGAAAGCAAGTCAGAGAAAATTTATTCTTGAAAATTGCGCAACGTGTACATACACAAATGGAAAAAACTTTCGGAACCTGTGCTGTTTGCATGAATTATAAAGGTGACGTTAACACTTAACACACGTCAGATATTCTAAGGGCTGAGTGTGCAACATGTATTATGGCATGAGGTCCGTACACCACCGTAAAAAGGTAAGTATTCTTATGATTCCCGCACTGTAGATGGGGAAACAGGCCGAGAGAGGTTTCGTAACTTCTGTAGCATCTGTGCACTTAGCTGTCCTGCTCCCTAGAAAATAAATGGCTGTATGACCAGTGGCTCTCGCTGCATTAATTTGACAGCAGAGCATAACTTCTGATGATAGATCATCTGATAAGGTTCAGTACAACATTCAACTCCCTCTTGGATCTGAGTGGCTGACCACAGAATAAATACAGGCCTGAGGCTGCAGAGGGTGACAGGGAGGCCTTTGCTCTGGAGTATTTGTACCTCAGTGTGACTCTTGGCTCTGTCTCTGTGCTGATATCCAGGCAGCTGCGAGGTCCGGTCACATGTCCACAGCCACCCGCTGTGCCCTTGTAGAGATCACCCCACGAGGCCCAGAGGACACTAAGGGGCACCATCAGAGCTCTGTCACTCACCGTCTCCTTTTCTCGGAGTTCTGATTCCAGGTCCTCAATTCTTCTCTTCAGCTGGAAATTTTTCTCCTTCTCTCTGCTTATCACACTGCTTTGTTCTTCCAGCTTGTCAAGCTTGGGTAAACATCATATGTTAAAGCAGGGATGGGAGTTCACTTTTGTCATTCAGCAAAAGACCACCGCAACTGTTTAGGCTTTCTTTTCAATTAACCATAAACTAACCCAGTTATAAATGTTTCCTCATGGCTACGATCAAACTCCATGCGGCCTCCCAGGGGCTGCTTGCCCCTTCCTGCTGGCACAAGATGCCTTACCTACCACCAGCAGAGCCAAGTAAGTCACAAAACCTGGCCTTACGATGCTCTGGGCTGGTTTCTCTCATGGCCATGGGACAGAACCTCTTCAGGTTTGCTTTAAGGATCCATCACAGGCAGGGGCCAGATGTCCCATGAATCTATCTGCTTCTCCCACAATGATTTTTACATCATTTTAATCGTGTCCTGAATTGTTTCATCTCAAGGGTTTAAGCCAGCAGGGTACAGAACCAAGCACTGTGGGACAGTGGCCACCAGGTGGGACATGATGACATTTCAAAGGGTTTAAATCAAGATGACCTTTCCATCCTGATGCATGCAGAGGAGTCCGGCCTGCAGGTCTCTTCCTGGACACAGGCAGAGGTGCCAGCTGAACCCGCAAATTCCCAGAGTACACCTTTCTCTCCCTCCCAGGCCTGACCCCTCAGAAGAGAGACAAAGGAGCCAGACCCCTGGCACTGCCATCTGATGCTGACTGTTTCCAGGGGGCCAGAGTGTGTGTGCAGAGTGGACGGTGGGGGAGGAACCAATGGGTAATAACACAAAGAACCACATTGATGGGGCCCCAGGGCCTCCCATCAGGGAAGCTGGCACTCCTCTCGGGAAGCACTCCCTCCACTCCTGCCCTGCTCTCTGGTTCTTGTGCTCAGGTGCACAGGGAGAAGCTCAGCTCTTTTCTTGGAAAAAGAAAGGGCATCGATCCCTCTGGCAGGCAGATCAGCCAGACCTCGGAAGGGAACGTGCGGAGTCAGCACTTGGCCTGGTGCCCCCTGCTCTCAGCACTCTGAGCATGAAGAAAAAAATGGCATGAGGCAGTTTTATGTGCCATCTGTACCGGGTAAGCTGGTGAAACAGAGCAGTGGTCTCTGGTGGCTCCACTCAAGTCGGGTGGGCAGGTTATACATGGGGGGAGCGGGGGGAATGAATACCAATGTCAATGTGACGTGTCCCCCTGAAATTCTGCACTTACCAAGCAGAATGTGTTCATGGCCTGTGGGCGAAACATGCTGACCATTAAAACATGGTCAGCACGAGGACCTCAGGCCCCAACTGGGGATTCTCTGGCCACCCCAAAACTACCTTGTCAACTCAGTCCAGCTATAAAGAGTGTGATTATAGGGAAGGCTGCAGTGAATTCTGAAAAAAAATCAAAATGCCTGGACGTGAAGGCAGGAGAGCAGAGGGCACACGATGGCAGCCAGCACACACCCACCCCCCACTGCAAGGGCTTGATTCTTTTTCTCTCCTCCACATGCACATTTTCAGAAATAGTGAAATTTGCAGGAGGCGAGGTTTCTGAGCAAATGCCCCTACCCATTTCCTAAATCTATTCTCGTCACTCAGCCCCTGGATCCCTTTTCTCCACCTTACGTCAGCAGAACCCAGAAAATGCCCAGAAGAGCCACCCGCAAAAAAAGGCCAGCCCGCCGCTGGCATCAGAGGGACAATGCTGAGGTCTCTCACGTACTTACCTCGCCCTTCGCGATAGGGATTACAGAAGTTGGCTCAATAAAAGTAATAAATCAGTTATTGGGGTGGAGGGAGGTTCAGAGGGGGGAAGCAGTCTTCCCCCTGCCCGGGGGTGGGGTGGGGTGGTGGTGAGGGTGAAGTGGGGGAGGAGGAGCCTGACAGCCCCCCCACTACCCCCTCCAGGGCTGGCCCTCCAGTGCCCACCTTGTTCCGCAGCCGGTCGTTCTCGTCCCGGCAGATGCAGCACTGCCTCCTCCACTGCTCCACGCTAGCCGCCGACTCCTGCAGCGCTGTGGTCAGCCGGGCATTGCTCTCCCGCAGGGTCTGCAGCTCAATCTCCCATTTCTTCACGTTGGCGGCACTGCGCGGCAGAGGCCAGGTGGTGACCAGGATGGCAGGTGCAATCCATCCTGCAGCACCCCCACTCACGTGGAGAAGGGGACCCTGCCCCGCCTCAGCTGCCCCTAGAGGGCTACAGCCTTGCCCACCGGTGGGCTGCCTGGAAGACCAGTGCCAAGAGGGACTGGCCTCTCTCTAGTGCAAACCTGTCACCTTGCAGGGCTGTTTTCCTAAACAATCCCTTTAGTAATGAACAGAATTCTTAGAGGAGGAAGAGATGAAGGATGACGCTCAGGATGAAGCCCCAAAGTGTGGTGAACACCCCTCCCTCACTCCCCGCCATAGAACACCAATTGCTACCTGAAATAAGCCTCAAGGACAGAGGTTCCTGAGTGCTGGGCAGACCTCAGGGCCCTCTGAGAATCTCATGAAAGCTGTTGGACCCTTTCAACATGTTCCTGACACCCCTCTTGGAGCCAAGGGCCCCAGGTCTAACAACAAACAGCCTGGCTCCAGGTGGTAATGGTGCCTCCCGTAACTTGTGCCTCCTCAGAGCCTTTAAAGGAATCCAGATCTGAGAGCAGAGGACTTGGGGGCAGAGGAGACAGTGACTGGAACGCACCTGGGGCGGAACTGGGGTTCTAACCACAGTGTGTGTGGGAGTCCTGGCCCTGTGTCATCACAGGTCTGAGGGACACCTCCATGGTACCACAAAAACCCCATGTCTATCTTTGATCTTATGTGTTCAGTGAAGAAGTTTTACAAAACAAACTGGAGTCAGGTTCCCCTCATTTGCTGTTCGCTGTTGATGCTCCTTTTGTTTCTTTGCTTTGGAGCCAATGAATCTGGGGTGTGACCCAAGGCATCAGGGCAGGGCTGTACGTGACAAGCCCATCAGAAAGTCCTGACTCCTCCTGAATACTTCCTGGCTGAGGAGAGCTCTGCCTCTAAAGGCTTTTTGAAAAAGGAAAAACAACAGTATCTGAATAATCTGCATTATCTTTCATCCCACAGCTTCAAGGACCTGGGGATGTGATGGGAAAATATACACTTTCAGTTTCAAACACCACAAACTGAAAAAATAGTAAGATATTATTACCCGATTAATTTCAGAACTGATGACTGAGAACTTAAGATGATTTTTGGGAAATGGCTTCACAACCATTGCTGTAATTCACTTCTCTGTTAAACTGGGATTTCAAAACATTTATTTTTAGGGTTGGAACGTTTTTATTCAGGCAGCTTACTGTGACTTAAACAACCAAAAATAGTCCTTATAATTGTCGGTTGAGTAAGAAAAGAGACTGGTCACAGTGCTGTCTTTTGAAGTACCTGACAAAACCCACAATCCAAAGAAGATGGCTGGATCTAAGGGTCATGGTTCTTTCTGGAATTCCTAGGTCAGATCACAGGAAGTGAGCTCCAAAAATGGGCCAGGCCAACTGAGTTGAGAGGTGGGTGCCAGCGCTTTGGCACCAGCTGGGGGATGTGACTGGCTCCTCAGGGAAGGTCCTGAGAGACTGCAGCTGCAGCCTGGAGTGAAAGGAAGGAGGTAAGGGGTGGTGGAATGATTTACCAACCATGTGACCTCGGGCAAGGAAGGACTCGCTTTACCACCTGGACTCAGTTTCCTCATCTATAAAATGGGGGAATTACTAAGATCCAGCTCTTAGATGGGGCAACTCTGAGGAGAGCAGCTTCTCAGCCACAGAGAGGCTGCGGGAAGCTGGCCAAGCCCCCAGCCAGGTGAGCGGAAGGATCCCAAGACAGCCCCTCTGAGGCCCTGGTGGGGCCAGCCCACGCCAGGAAGGCCAGCCCAGCCTGTGGGAAATGGGCCATATTCTCAAGACACAAATCCACAGGCACAGCTTGTGTAGTCATTAAAGACTACAGTCTTGTTGACATCATTATATGGGGACTGCATTAAATTTATAGATCAATGTAGAGGAAGTTGATACCTTTTCAAATATCAAGGTCTCCTACCACTTCTCAATAGAATGTATGGATTTGTTAAATTATTCATTTATGGTCCTCAAAATCAGTTTAGAGTTTTCTTCACATAGCCCTTGTGCACTTAAGTTTATTCCCATGTATTTTATGATTCCAGTCCATATTATAAAGGAAATGTCTTCTATGAATATGTATTCCATGTGCTGTTTGTTTATATATAGAAAAGCTACTGACTTTCATGAGGTTTTATATTATTTTTAATAGTTTCTTAGGTTTTTACCTGTTTTTCTGGATGCTCAAGACTCAATCTTACCATATATGAATAAATGGTAAATTTGGCTCCTCAAAAAACAAAACAAAACACAAGCACAGGCACACACCTCTCTCTCAGACGTTCACACACTCATGTACTCTCTCATATACTGCTCACACACACACACACGCAAACACACACACACTCTCTATCTCTTATACTAACACACTCACACACACAAATTGTGTATGATGTGGTCAGTCAGCTGGCTTCATGGCCAGGACACAAGACTGGTCATCTGAGCAGGGCCCAGTGTCCTCTCCCAGTTTCCTGAAACCCTGCCCAGCAGGACTGTCTTCAGGGACACGCTGACCTTGGAGAGAACAGCGCCTGCGTTTAAAACGCCCTTACCTCTGTGTCAAAGCGATCTTCAGCTTGTTGTTCTCAGACTTCAGGTGTATGTCAGCAGGACTCGCGTGAGAGGCTTTTTCATCGTCTGTCCCATTGACACTGGATGCCTGAGTAGAAGATGGGGTTTCACACCCAGACTCCTGGCCAAAGTGAATTACCTCACACGTTACTATGCATCCTTACAGTGGCAGCAAGTCAGGCATAACGAGAAACTGGTTAGGAGTTTAGGAGAACAGTTCATCTTACCTGAACGCAGCAAAGACTCACAAGTCAAAGACTAATAACAAAAACTGTCCAGAACAAAGGAAAGGCCCAGAAAGGCCACACGAGTTCAGAAAGTCTGCCCACCTCGTGGACAAGGGAGCACCTGGGGCCGTTACTCAGGGCCTGCGTGCCCACCCTTCACACACAGACCTAACAAGCCTGGATGCCTGGTCTCCTTATAAATAACACAAGACAGGAGCCATATAGTAAATGAAGAGGAAAGATTTATAACAAGGAACAGAAACAGTGAATGAGGAAAAAGTATTAGAAGCTGAGATAATTTAAAAATTCTGGAGCTACAGCGAGTTAGAGCAACACACTCATTAAACATACAGGAATCAGGCATGGACGTCTGCTGTCTCCATTACTATTTAACACTGTTATGAATATTCTGAAATGTTTTCTGTAATAACTCATCCCACACGGTGGTGAAATCTGGTCTTGGATAACATTTTAGGAAGATCTTAGCCTCCAATATGCATAAAGGCAAAAGAAGGAGCCATGAACGGAAGGATGCATAAATTTGACTACCTTTACATTTCTGCACTGCAAAACAATGACATAAACAAAATTAAAATGCAAACAAACACTAGGGGCAACTATCTGCTGCTAAATATTTGCAGATACTAAAAACAAAATGTTAATACTGTTCCTATATTGAAAAACTTAGAGTCCTTATCTTTCAGAGCTACACACTGAAATATTGATGGATGAAATGATAAGATGTGTGGGATTTGTTTTAAAACTTAGGGGAACAGAGAGGGGGACACAGATGAAACAATTAGTCATAAATTTCTAATTGTTAAAGCTGACCTGTGGGCCCATGGAGGTTCACTACACAATTCTGCCTAGCTTTGTATACATTAAAAAATATCCATATAAAAAATAAAGTTCTTGAAAATCAAGAAAATCAAGAAAAAAATATTAACACTTTGATTTTTAAAAAAGGAAAGAATAAAGTGTCGGCCAAATGGCTCAGTTGGTTAAAAGCTCACGCAAGAGTTTGAGCTCTGAGCAACAGCGGTTTGATTCCCAGCCTGAGCTGAGCTGCTGCTGAGCTGCCAACAGGTGGCAGGATGGCTCAGCTAAAAAAAAAAGGAAAGAATACACAATTGACATTTACAGAAGAAAAAAAATTCACAGAATCAATTGACATGAAAAGTATTTAATCTTGCTAGTAAAGAAATACAAAATGAAAAAAGCCAATAAATTATATTTTTCTTCTGTCAAACCAACAAAACTTTGTTGGTAAGGGTGTGGGAGAAAAAACTGCTCTCATTCTCTGCTGGTGAGATTTAAAATTATAAATTATCTGTAGGCTAAGTTTATGGTATGCATCAAAAGCTTTTCAAATGTCCCTACTTTTTTCCTATACAAAGATGTGTGAGAACGTTCATCACATGCTTCTTATATTAATGAAAAATTAGAAACTACACAGATGTCCCAAATGATAGGAAGCTAATGTAATAAGTTGTGATGCAGACAAACACTGGAAAACTGTCTAGCCAATAAAATAAAATATTTGAAAACATAAGGAAATGATCATGAAATGTAAAGTGAAAAAGAAATGGCTAAAAAGAAAATATTAGGGAAACTATATTAGGAAGATACATACCAAAATATTAACAACATATCTTTGGTGAGAAAGCAGGTAATTCTTATTCCCTTTGTTATAATATGACATATTTTTTATTTCTGCAATAAATATATATTGTTTTTAGATAAAAAGAAAAACACGTTAAATGTTTTTGTAATTAGATTCAAATATTTGGAAAACTTGCTCAAAGTATTCATTCCCTAAGAGATTCAGGGAACCAAAGAATTGTATGATTTCTATAAAAACAAAAGGAAAAATGTACAATGGTCTCTATATCAGGGGAAATATTGGGATGGATAAATAAAAACTAAAGCTTAGAAACAAAAAAATTTATGTATAATTAATACATATATACAAAATAGCATCTTATGTGTATACTTGATTTTTTTAAGGTGTAAAAATACTTTCTGGGGAAAACAAACGTTAAAACTAAAAAAGAAACACCTTACATAAAGAAATTCCAATATTAAAGTTTAAAGGTATTGCTAAAATATGTGGTATACAGAAAAAGTCTGTATATTACAAACTTTCTTTAGACCCTGGACCATTTCAGGCACCCAATTTTATAGATCCTCAGAGATTTCTCAGTACGGTAATTAAGGATATTAAATTAACAGTATAATCACTTAGATTACATTAAATATTATTTAGAAATCTAGATTCAGGGAAGTTCTTATCACCTGAAGTCTAATATACACTCATTTCCATACATCCATGTGGGGCATCTTTTATATAATGAGCCCAGGACAAGGCGCTGGGGCTATAATTCAAGACAGATATAGATTCTACCTTCATGAAATACCCTGAGCCACCAAATTTCGTGTCCTAAGGGTCAGCCACAACAACTGACAAACCCAGGGACCCCTTGGCATGCTCACCCCTCCTCTGCAGCACTGATGTGCTGAGCGGGCTCCTTTCTTGGGTTCAGTGATGGTGGGACTTGTCTGTCTTCTCTGCTGGCTCCCTTCCTGTAACAGGGTTCATTTCCCAAGGCTCTATCTAGCACACGCCCTCTCCCCACTGCTTCTCAGTGCTTCCGGGCTTCAGCTATTGCTTCTGCTTCTGCGAGGCTGATGGTCAAGTCTAGAGCATCGATCCTGACTGCTCAAGGTATGCAGGCCTCCTGGTTCTCTTCCTACAAGCTGTCCCCGACATCCATTCCTTCCTCTTTACCCCTGTGGCCCGGCCATTCTCCACCTCCCAGGACCCCCCCTGATTTTCTCTGTCATTTTCTGACTTCCCCATCACCCACATGCAATCCTCATGTCAATTTCAGATCAACAGTCATAAAACCCCGCCAATGTCTGCCAACTACCTGATAATAAATAACTAAATAAAAAAACTAATAAATAGTATAACTGTGTACAGTGAAGAATCCTAGGCCTCTCCCGGTACCCCCAACTGCATCTCTGTCCTCCCACAGCACACCTCTTTCCTAGCCCGGCGGCATCATGCTTATTCCTTACTCCAAATCTTTGCTCCCGCTGTCTCCCTTTCCCTAATGACGTACAACCTTGTCATTAGGTCTAGCTGTCCGCTCACCACTACATACACCAATCTAGACATCAGGAATGAAGGTATGTTTATTTCAGGTTCAAAGAGGTCTCTTTTAGTCATCATACTGTTACGTAGACAGACTACTCGATTCCTGGCAAAGCTACATGTCCTTTGGCTAAACCTGAACTATTGGAATTCCATCTCCCACCTGACTTTCGTTAAAATAGGGAGACAGAGATGAGGGCTGTTTGGCATCAGTCAAGTTTTCTCTCTCACGGGAACAAGGTACCTGCACTTGTCACTGAGTGTCCTTCATGTAAACCTCACCTCCCAACACAGCAGGGACACACAGTGCCTTGCCACTGGTGTTTAAACAGTGACCAGAGAATGCCTCTTCGGGGCCAAGGACATGCATTACCCTAATCCCATCAAAAACACATCACCACATCCTGAAAAGTCCAGGAGCCTCATCAACACATGTCCTACCCACCTCAGTGTCACCAGGCTGGTAATCAGAAAGCCCTCAAAATGCCCTACTGCTAAATTCCCTTTTTCTTGTCCAAAGTGACAAGGAACAGAGTCTTAATCACTGATCACACTTGGGTTAGTTTTATGGACAAATTACTCACTTGTGAGTGATTGCTCGAGGTCTCGATTTTATCCTGCGATTTGTCTCTGGCTAGTTTGGCAGCTGTTTTCACCTCCTGGAATTTGTCTGCAAACTGAACATGGAGAACAGTTACTAAGGTTTTCACACAGCTGATATTCAGAACCCACCTTTATTATTCTGCATTCATTTTAGGCCAATTCTGTAGAGATCCAGAAAAGGATTTTACTTGAGATTAAAAAGAAAGGAATATAAATACAACTAGAAAAACACGAATATAAGGAATGCTTCTTCCCATAAATACTACCGACCAAGCCGAGACCCAAATCAACTTCTAAGCTACTAAAGTTAGTCTGATGATGATGTATTAAAAATAAACACCTCTGGTCAACAGTAACTAATACAAATGCAAGAAAAAAATTAGCTGTACCACAGAAGGAATCCGTGAAAAACTTCATCATCTCTATTAAAAGATGCAAGAATTCTTACAAGTCAATGTAATGAAAAACAAAAACATCAAAAAATTTGGGGAGAACGAACTGTTCTAGATTTTTTAAAAGCTTAAACTATAAAATATGAAAATGCAAACCAGGCTACAAAATGCAACATGTAGCCTATGACTGAATTCTGTTTTGAACAGACCAACTGTTTATACAAGATTTCTGGGGGACAAGTGGAGGAGATGTGAACATGGACTGGGTTAGATGATATCAAGGAATTACATTAATTTTATTAGACGTGCTAATGATGTTGTGTTTCTGTTGGAAAATGTCATTTTTTTAAGAGATAAATTCTGAAGTATTAAGGTGTGAAATGTGCTGATGCCTGTAATTTAAAGTACTTCAACAACAGTACAATAGGTAAAGAAATGTGGCAAATGTTAACCACTAGGTGATGTGTACCTGGGTGTTGATTATACTGTGTTCTCTACTTTTTAAAAATGTTTTACTATTTTCATAATAAAAAAAAACTCTTAAAATCCCAGGGCAATCACATCAATCACTGGCTTACAGTCCCTGACAAGGCAACTGATTTTAATTAGCAAGTACACTGTTCGAACAGAGAACGTTCTGTGATAGACACTGCTGGCATGGCAAAGCAAGAGCCAGCTCAATGTGCTTGGTGAGAAAACAAAAGTTAGTGAGCTATGAGGCTACTGACTTTCTGTGACTTTTGTTGATGATTCATTAATGTCTCAGAGATTCATTAATCTCTGAGTGTGTGCACCACACCGACAACAGCGGTTTGCTTTAAGACCCTTGCCAGACGACAGACACTGGTGAACCATGCACCCTGTTCAAAGCAGGAAAGTCAGCCTTTCTGTTCTGGCCTGTGTTGCTCCTGCAGGTCCCTCCATAAAGCTATCGCCATGGGGGCTTCATATTTAACCATCCCAGGGCTGTCAGAGGAAAATCTGCTTAAAACAAGTGAGGTCCGGCAGGGATGGATAAAACCCTCCTCCTTCCTTTTAGGAGGCCCCTTAAGTAAAAACATCATGTCATCAACTCCCTGATGGAAGCAGGGTCCGCGCCTTCTCTCTTGGCACCTCCCAGCAACCCTGGCAGAAAGCAGGCACAGTTTGTTCAGTGAACGCATGGGCTCTGGGTTCCAGGCCTGCACACTTCCTTGTCCAGGGCACAGGCCTAAGCTAAGACTGTCACAGTTCTTCTGCCAGACAACCAAGAATGCTGCTCAGGGAGGTGCTGTGATGAGAGCCTGGGAGTACCCTGCCCCATCTTTCTGCTTCCTAAGCTTATCTGATTGGATTAACCTGAGGCATCCCTCGAAATACGAAATACGAAAGTCACCCCAGAGGAGACTTTGGGCAGGCACTATAAAGGCCTTTCAATCTTACTGAGACATCAAAAGATACAATTTTTAGAAGGTTTTATTTTAAATGTTTTTGTGCCCAGAGTCAATTAAAAGTCATATATGATTTGAAGAAAACTGTAATGCATGTGTTTCTCAGCAGACGCCCCTGCTACTTGAGTCTGGCCCGTGCTGTGCTCAGTACAGTGGGGGCTGACTCTCTTCCCACAAGCAGCTCAGTCCTTTACCAGCCTCCCACACCAAAGCACTGTTTTTTACAGGTCCTTCTTGTACCTGTTAGAGCCCCTTTCCCTCATGAGTCTTATTCGAAGTTGCTTGTAAACCAGATTAAAAATGTCATCAGCAGGGCCAGCCGAGTAGCTCAGTTGGTTAAGAGCTCGCTCAAGAGTTTGAGCTCTGAGCAACAGCGGTTCGATTCCCGGCCCAAGCTGAGCTGCTGCTGAGCTGCCAACAGGTGGCAGGGTGGCTCAGCTATAAAAAAAAAATCGCACAAAAATGTCAGCTAGTGTCACACTCATTCAGTCAACAAACATGACTTGAGCACCAGTCAGTACTTCAGTGGATAAGTATTCCCACTACCTGAACTGGGCCATGCACAAAGCTGGGAGCTGGGACATCGTGCACCCTGGGTGAGTATCAATCCCACTCCTGCCTCCCAGGATGCCAACAGTAGCAGTAAACAGTGGTGAACAAGCCAGTAAATAAAGCCCTGCCAGCTTTTTTGTTTGTTTGTTTGTTTGTTTGTTTGTTTCATGCATTTTTTTTTATTACTAGGTTTCAGGTGTACAGAACAATGCAATAGTTATCCTTTTCATCCCTCAAAAGAAACAACCTCCCCTCCCCCATCTACTGACCTCCCACCTCCGATATCATGCTTATCTATTACAATCCCATTGACTCCCTTCCCACTCTCTACTCCACATCCCGTGACTATATGTACATATAATTATAGTTGACATACAATATTATTCAACATCAGCTTCAGAAATACAGTGCGGTGGTCAGGCCTCTACACCGACTATGAAGTGGTCTCCCTAACAAGACATGAGTCCATCTGGCCCCCTAGAAAATATTTACAACATTATTGATTATATTCCCCAGACTGTCTTTTCTATCCCTGAGGCCATATTGTAGTTACCAATTTATATTGTCTCTTCCCTTCCCCTTCTCCTTCATTCCCACCCCCTCCCAACTAGCAACTCTCAGTTTTTCCTCTGTGTCTCTGAGACTCTTTCTGTTTACATTTCTCATTTATTCAGTTGTTTAAATTCCACATACAAGTGAGATCATATGGTATTTGTCTTTCTCTGACTGACTTATTTCACTTAGCATAACGTTGTCTAGTTCCATCCATATCGTTGCAAATGGTACGATTTCCTTCTTCTTTATAGCTGAGTAATACTCTATTGTGTAAATGTACCATAGTTTCTTAATCTAGTCGTCTACCGAAGGGCATTTCAGTTGTTTCCAAGTCTTAGCTATTGTGAATAGGGGTGCATACATTTTTTCGAATTAATGTCTTCGGTTTTTCTGGATAAATACCTGAGTGGAATTGCTGGGTCATAAGGTAGTTCCATTTACAGTTTTTTGAGATACCTCCATACTGATTTCCATAGTTGCTGTGCCAATCTGCAGTCCCGCCAACAGTGCACCAGGGTTCCCTTTTCCCCACAACCTCGCCAGCATTTGTTGTTTGTTGATTTATTGATGATAGCCATTCTGACCAGGGTAAGGTGGTATTTTATTTGCATTTCCCTAATGATTAGTGAGGTTGAACATTTTTTCATATGCCTGTTGGCAATCTTTATGTCCTCTTTAGAGAAACGTCTCTTCATATCCTCTGCCCATTTTTTAATTGGGTTGTTTGTTTTTTGGTGTTGAATTGCATGAGTGTTTTATAAATTTTGGATATTAACCCTTAATCAGATATCTCGTTGACAAATATCTTCTCCCATTCAGTAGGCTTCCTTTTTGTTTTGTTGATGGTTTCCTTTGTTGTGAAAAAACTTTTAAGTTTGATGTAGTCCCATACGTTCATTTTTTCTTTTACTTCCCTTGCCCGTGGGGCTGTATTAGTAAAAATATTGCTCAAAGTAATGTCTGCAAATTTAGACCCTATATTTTCTTCTAGGAGTTTTATGGTTTCAGGTCTTACATTTAAGTCTTTAATTCATTTTAAATTTGTTCTTGTATATGGTGTAAGGAGGTGGCCCAGTTTCATTTTTTTGCATGTGCCAGTCCAATTTTCCCAGCACCATATATTAAGCAGGCTATCTTTACCCCAATGTAAATTCTTGCTTCCACTGTCATAGACTAACTGCCCATATATGCTTGGATTGAATTCTGGGCCCTCTAGTCTGTTCCATTGATCTATGTGCCTGTTTTTATGCCAGTACCATACTGTTTTGATTACTGTAGCCTTGTAGTATGCTTTGATGTCGGGTAGCATGATACCTCTGACTTTGTTCTTATTTCTCAGGATTGCTGTGGCTATTCGGGGTCTTTTTTTGTTCCATATAAATTTTAGGATTATATTTTATATTTCTGTGGAAAATGCCCTTGCTAGTTTGATAGGAATTGCATTGAATCTATATATTGCTTTAGGCAGTATGGACATTTTAACTATATTAATTCTTCCAATCCATGAGCATGGTAGGTTTTTCCATTTGTTTGTATCTTCTTTTATTTCTTTCTTCAGTGTCTTATAATTTTCTGAGTACAGGTCTTTTACTTCTTTGGTTAAATTTATTCCTAAGTATTTTATAGTTGTTGAAGCAATTATAAATGGAACTGTTTTCTTAATTTCTCCTTCCGATAGTTTATTATTAGTATATACAAATGCAACTGATTTCTGAATATTGATTGTGTATCCTGCTACCTTACTGAATTCATCTATCAGTTCCAATAGTTTTTTGATGGAGTCTTTGGGGTTCTCTCTATATAGTATCATGTCATCTGCATATAATGACAATTTTACTTCCTCCTTACCAATTTGGATGCCTTTTATCTCTTTTTCTTGTCTGATTGCCCTGCGTGGGCAGGCTTACCACCCTCTTCCCCCATCTACATGGTAAGGAGTTTAATGGCTCCTTAACACACATCCCCTCGTTTGCCCCTTACCACCACTCTGTAGGACAGAAGTTCTCATTTACAGTTTCAAGATAAAATATGGAGCCTTCAAGGGAGCACTTGAGATCTTGCTCCCTGGCGTATGTCATCAGTTTGGCTCAAATAAACTCATAAAAATTCAAGAAAAAAAACAACCCCAAAACACTGGATCCTTAG